GTATTAAATTCAGAAAAACTGACAAGGTGAGCAGAAGCTTTTAAGAACTAAGGAAGTATTGTCCATGTAGGCCAGTGGTTCTCAACCTTCCTAATGCCACGACCCCTTAATACAGTTCCTCATGTTGCGGTGACCCCCAACCATAACCCTAACATGTAAATAATGATCTGCAGGATGTATTTCCATTCACTGGCGCAAATACCCGGTATGCCCAAATTTGAATACTGGTGGGGTTGGTGGGGGGTTTGATTTCGCCATATGGGAGTTGTAGTTGCTGGGATTTATAGTTAACCTGTAAACAAAGAGCATTCTGAACCCCACCAATGATGAAATTGAACCAAAGTTGGCACACAGAACTCCCATGACCAACAGAAAATACTGGAAGGGTTTGGTGGGCATTGATCTTGAGTTTGGGAGTTGAAGTTCGCCTATATCCAGAGAGCACTCTAGATTCCAACAAAGATGGATCTGGACCAAACTTGGCACGAATACTCAATATGTTCAAATGTGAACACTCGTGGGGTTTTGGGAAAATAGACCTTGGGATTTGGGAGTTGTACTTGCTGGGATTTATAGTTCACCTACAATCAAGGAGCGTTCTGAACCCCAACAATGATAGAATTGGGCCAAACTTCCCACACAGAGACCCCCATGACCAACAGAAAATACTGTGTTTTCTGATGGTCTTTGGCAACCCCTCTGACACCCCTTCGCAACCCCTCCAGGGGTCCCGACCCCCAGATTGAGAAACACTGATGTAGGCAAAGGTCAACTGATGGGACATTATGCTGGCCATGCAGTTGCTTTTAATTAATTAATTAATTAATTTATTAATTATTCGAACTTATATGCCGCCACTCCCCTGGGGCTCGGAGCGGCTTACAAGAATGGCTAAAATCTAACACAATTTAAAAACAATTTAAAACAATTTAAAAACAGCAATATCAAAAATCAAAGGCCTGTCGAAACAGGTATGTCTTACATGCCCTGCGGAAAGCTGATAGGTCCCGCAAGGCACGGACTTCAGGTGGCAGAGTATTCCAGAGTGATGGTGCCACTGCTGTAAAGGCTCTGCGTCTGGTTGCTGTTAGACGCAAGGTGTTGACACTGGGAATTTCCAATAGATCTTGGTCCTCAGAACGGAGGGATCTCTGGGGTTGGTAGGGGGTGAGGCGGTCCCTCAGGTACATCGGCCCCAGACCATGCAAGGCCTTAAAGGTGAGTACCATCACTTTGAAAGTGATCCGGTGCTCAATTGGTAACCAATGCAGCTGTAGTAAGATTGGTGGCATAAGTGGCATCTCATCGGAATTCCCGCAAGAAGCCGAGCAGCTGCATTTTGTACCAACTTGAGCTTCCGGATCACCGACAGAGGAAGGCCAGTGTAGAGGACGTTACAGTAGTCCAGTCTTGAGATGACTGTAGCCTGGATCACCGTAGCTAGGTCGTCTTGGACAAGTAGGGGGCCAGCCGTCCAGACTGCCATAGATGAAAAAAGGCGATTCTGCTAACGGCGGAGACCTGGGTCTCCATCGTCAGCAGAGGGTCCAAAAGGACTCCCAGACTCTTTACCAATGATGACGGGCGTAGCGCCTCGCCATCCAGGGTAGGCAGCTGGATATCCCCACTGCCCGGTTGACCCAGCCATAGGATCTCCGTCTTTGCTGGATTCACCCTCAACCTGCTGGCACGCAGCCATCCAGTACGGCCTCGAGGCACTGATGGAAATAATCGGGTACAGCCTTCCATCTTCAGCACCAGCTGAGTGTCATCAGCGTACTGATAACACTCCAGCCCAAAACCTCGAACCAGCTGAGCAAGTGGTTGCATATAGATATTAAAGAACAGAGGGGAGAGAATGGCCCCCTGAGGAACCCCACAAGACAGAGGGGACCTATCTTAATAATGGGCCTGGCTTCATTAAATTCAATAGAACTATAGTATATTATGCTGTCTCTTTTATTGCTGTTAGATTGCTATTCTAAAATAATGTTTTTGATTCCATGGAAAACTGTAAAAAGATAACAGGTATTATGTCTATCAGATCTTAAGCCTTTTCACACATATAAGAGGCAATTAAGCATATAAATCAGGGGTCCTCAAACTAAGGACCGGGGGCTGGATATGGCCCTCCAAGGTAATTTACCTGGCCCTCACTCAGGGTCAACCTAAGTCTGAAATCACACAACAACAACAACAACAACAACTCTGTCTCATCAGCCAAAAGAAGGCCGACACTTCCCACTGAAATACTAATAAGTTTATATTTGTTAAAATTGTTCTTCATTGTAATTATTGTATTGTCTTAAGTGTTTTTTTTGCATTACAAATAAGATATGTACAGTGTGCATAGGAATTCATTAATGTTTTTTTTTTTTCAAATTATAATCCGGCCCTCCAACAATTTGAGGGACTGTGACCTGGCCCTCTGTTTACAAAGTTTGTGGATCCCTGATGTAAATCATAATAGGTATTGTGTAATATCTCAGTATCAGGCAGTAGATGTATTGTTTCTATAGTAGAACTGGAAAGGAAGAAGTTACCAGGAAAATAGGTATATGTAACACGTCTCTTGTATTTCTAGGTGCAAAGATTACTCAGGAAATCAGGAGATGCTTACTTCTTGGGAGGAGAGCAATGTCCAATTTCGATAAAATAGTGAAGAGTAGAGACATCACACTGGCAACGAAGATCCACATAGATAAAGCAATGGTATTCTCCATAGTCACCTACAGATGTGAGAGCTGGACCTTAGGGAAGGCTGAGCGAAGGAAGATCGATGCTTTTGAGCTGTGGTGTTGGAGGAAAGTTCTGAGAGTGCCTTGGACTGCGAGAAGATCCAACCAGTCCATCCTCCAGGAAATAAAGCCCGGCTGCTCACTGGAGGGAAGGATACTAGAGACAAAGCTGAAGTACTTTGGCCACATCATGAAGAGACAGCAAAGCCTAGAGAAGATAATTATGCTGGGGAAAGTGGAAGGTAAAAGGAAGAGGGGCCGACCAAGGGCAAGATGGATGGATGGCATCCTTGAAGTGACTGGACTGACCTTGAAGGAGCTGGGGGGTGGTGACGGCCGACAGGGAGCTCTGGCGTGGGCTGGTCCATGAGGTCGCGAAGAGTCGGAGATGACTGAACGAATGAACAACAACAAGAGACGTTACACTGGCAACGAAGATGCACATAGATAAAGCAATGGTATTCGCCATAGTCATCTACAGATGTGAGAGCTGGACCATAGGGAAGGCTGAGTGAAGGAAGATAGATGCCTCTGAACTGTGGTGCTGGAGGAAAATTCTGAGAGTGCCTTGGACTGCAAGAAGATCCAACCAGTCCATCCTCCAGGAAATAAAGCCCAACTGCTCATTGGAGGGAAGGATAGTAGAGACAAAGATGAAGTACATTGGCCACATCATGAGAAGACAGGAAAGCTTAGAGAAGACCATGATACTGAGGAAAATGGAAGGAAAAAGGAAGAGGGGCCAACCAAGGGCAAGATGGATGGATGGCATTTCTGAAATGACTGGATTGACCTTGAAGGAGCTGGGGGTGGTGACAGCCGACAGGGAGCTCTGGCGTGGGCTGGTCCATGAGGTCACGAAGAGTCGGAAATGACTGAACGAATGAACAACAACAACACATCTCTTTATTTCTTTGCTGTTTTGAGGGGGTTGTATAACAGAGAGAGGAAGATAGGAAGAGATAATTCTAAAATATACTTTATATTGTTACTTTGAATTATTTCTACAGGAATTTATGTTGGTCTATATATCTTTCATGATCATCCATAATGAGTGGAATTATGTTGGTTTGAACGTGTAGTAAGCAACATTTTCAATTTATTATATGAGCACTTTTCTGGAATTTGTTAAATTGTATACCCTTTTTATTAAAACATTTAAAGAAAAGTGAGTGCCTACAGTTTATAACATAAGAGTAATGAGTCATTTTACCATGTATTCAGTGACATAAAGGATTAATCTCACAAAGTAACTTTCTAAGCTCTTGTCCTAGAATTGTGCCAACATCAACTGATTGTGATATTTTGAAAGCAAAGGAAAGCTAAGTGCCAACTGTATCTGTGAAATCTCTGCTACCATGTATGCTCTCATAGGGATTTGTTTGGAAAGGTGTTTAATTGTTTTTGTGTTGTGCAATTTTCTTCTGTTTTATGTAAAAGATCCCTTTCTCAGAAATCCCAGCGCCTGGCCTTAGGAATATCTCATACTTGTAATAACGAAAAAAAAGGGACAAATATAGTCTGCTCATAAAGCAACTTCTGCTCGCTGATTGAATTGATTTTGACAGGAGGTAGAAAAATATTTCGCTCAACACCTAGGCTGAGAGCTATAAGAGAAGTGTTGAAAATCTGTACGCATTCTCCCAGTTCAACATGGGTGGGGGAAATGCTGCCCAGAAGGGCCATGAAATAACAATTTGAGACTATATTTCTCCATGAAAATTGGCATGGGGCTGAGTTGAGTATTTTTCCTATCAAGATACCTCTGTTTATGAGAGGGTGGAAAACAAAATTCATTCTGTGGGTAAGACACAGCATCCCGTGGGATGCCGCATGCCTCACGTACAAAAGGAAAGGCAAGAACAATATTGCAGTCCCGATGCCGTGGGTGAGGACCTTATGAATCCTTTTGCTGTCCTCTTTGAGAGTCTGAGCCACTGCTTGGAGACTGTGGCTGGCATATGACCAAATTGTAGGGGGGAAGAAATGGAGAAAAACACAACTGGGGAAGAAAGATAGTTTTCTACTGTTACGGCAAGGCATCTTGCATCTGGATAGGTTTCATCTGGTGTTTCCATATAGACCAGAATAATGTTTGTTTGTGTTTTGACTTTTAAATTATTCCCACAGGACTTTGCATTGGTCTGTATAGCTTTAAGGATGACCCATCCCCCTGTCCAGCAGCCACTATGCCCCGTCACTTACCCTGAAATACACTACAGTGCTTGTCAGGCTTTCTGTTTGCAGATGTATGATAAGCCAAGAAGTGAGCTATAATAGCTGCGCTGAACTTCCAAACTCTGGAAGGACTGACTAGACATTGGCTCAGCACTTGGATATCAACTGTTTGCATTCAGAAACAGGTGAGTGATATGGTATTCACAGCTTTAAAACATCTTTTATCACAGATTACCATTTATTGAACTCAGTGACCGAAACAGACTAGTTTATCAAAAGAAATCCAGTAGACATATATAGTTCAAACATTCTTAAGGAACGTTCCTCCTTTATAGTTGCTTTCAAGACCTACAAGTTTAAGCTACAAAAAGTTTAACATCTGAATGGATTTTTTTGAGGGGGGATAATTCATAATATGGGGAAAACTTGGTTTTCAGTAGAATATTGTATAGTGACAGCAGTTCCATTTTTTAAGTTATGAGAGAGTCTGCCAAACAATGAAGCATCTAATAAGCTTACTTGTCTCAAATAGATTTAAATACTAGGGCTGGGCGGTTTCGTTCGTTAATTTTGTAATTCGTTATTAATTCGTTATTTTTTTATAACGAAGCGATATTGAACCATTCAGGAGCAACTAAAAATCAAAACGAATTTTTCAATTCATTTCGTAATTGTTTCGAAATCGTTTCGAAATCGTTTTGTTATTATTTCCGCATGTCTGGTGCAAGTTTTATAGTTGTTGTTTGTTTTATCAGTGAAAAAAAATATAATTATCACACCAACAGTCAACAACAGAGGGAGAAGGAAGCTTCAGAAGTTCCCCCTGTCCCATTTGGAGGTTTTTTTAGCGTATTGCGCGGTCGCGTCCGCCATTAATGAATCGATTTGTAATTGTTTCGTAATTTCCGAAATTTCGTAAATTTCGAACTTTTATAAAGAAAAATTTCGGAATTCTTTTAAAAATCGAAACGCAAAAACCCCCTAAAAACGAATTGAGTTTAGAAACAAATTTTTCCGTGGTTGCCCAGCCCTATTAAATACATATACAATTATATAGATTGTGCATAATCTCTGCTACCTGTACCTATTCCTGTATTAAGAAAATTATAATGCTGAAGTCAAATTAATCCTGAAAATAAAAACATATAAACACTTTTTGTACAAGTTATTCTGTGTCTGAGATCTAGTTTTCAAATTTTTTTAAACAGTATACAAGGATTGGTGAGATACTGGCAACAGTGAGATATTGATTGTAATCCGTAGAGATTGGAATTTCATTGATCTCAATAAGTATGCATAGGATCAGGGGCGTCTCAACCCATTACGCAAAGTAAGCATTTGCAGTATAGTTGATTTTGCCCAGGGGCGCTCTTGAGGCGCTCTTGGGGGAAAATAGACTTTGACATATGCGAGTTGTAGTTTCTGGGATGTATAGTTCACCAACAATAAAAGAGCACTCTGAACTCCACCAATGATGGAATTGAACCAAATACGGCACACAGAACTTCCACGACAAACAGAATATATATATCAGTGATTGGTTGGGGAGGGGGGCACCAAAATACTGTTTGCTTACCATTGAAAATTACCTAGGGCCGCCTCTACATAGGATTGGGCTACATTGGTGATGGCAAATATATCCCTATCTGCACCAGCTGTAATTTGTAGGACACTGGGAGCTACCAAACGGTAACCATCACTGATGAATGCAAGTGTTGTAGGAAGTGATCTGTCTCATATAAAGGAGAATGTCTCAGATACAGAAGACTAAAACTACTGGATTTCTACTAACTACATAGTGTTTTTAAGATGCGTGCATTACATCTGAAATGGAAATGTAATACTTGTGGCATCTTTTCAAATTTGTTGTGAGATTAGTATGAAGTCTTAATGCTTTTGGCTGCATTTCAAGGTATGCCTCTTGATTTATTACGCAGAAAGAGCCCACATTTTTTGTGTCTTTATTATTTGCGCATAATAACAAACTAGTTGATGTTTTGAAGTAGGACATTAGTGTAGCCATATACCATGACTTGGAGGAAAATACATCTCCAATGAAGTTCAGGACACTTATCTTCTGGAAAACATGATGCATTCTTACTTTAGTAAAACGTTCTCTGACAAGCTGGCATAAATTATGCATGGAAATTATATTGGCCATGTAAGTATAGAAACGGAATACCTTGCAGACTTAATAAAGCTAGATACTTGATGGAAGCATTTTAATATAAAGCTTTTTAGGATTAAGTTACCAAATAACTTAGTGATTTCATGAATGGGCCAGTTCTTTGGGACTGGATTAACCATCAAGAGAAGCAGGGCAGCACAGAAATTTCCCATTTCTGGATTTATTGTGGACTATTAGTTCAAGACTGCAAATGGTGCAGCTGAACTAGGTTCAACAAAAAGCGCACCCCCCCCCCCCAAAAAAATAAAAGACTTCGCAGTTAGAAAAAGTAGGAAAAAACTTTTCAGATATATAAATAAAAAAAATATTATTTTCCATCTTTTGGTAATTTTTTCTAATTTTGAAAAATAAAATTTTCTGATTTAGCATTTTTTTCTATTTTGAAATATATCTATCTATAGCTATATAAATAAAATGTAATGTTCATTTGTGGGATTAACATAACTCAAAAATCACTGGACATATTGACACAAAATTTGGACACTACACCCCTAACAGACAACTGAGTGACCATCACTCATAACCCCCCCAACAAAAAACAGCGGAAAGGACTTAAAATCCCCCAAAAAGCTAAATGACGAAAACCTAAATGATGATACAGGGAAAAAAGGGAAGGAAGAGGGAGGGAAGGAAGGAAAGAGGGAAGGAAGGAAAGAAGGAAGGAAAGAGGGAAAGAAGAAAGGAGAGAGGGAAAGAAAGAGGGAAGGAAGCATGAAAGGAAAGAAGGAAGGAAAGAGGTAGAGAAGGAAGAATGGAGAGAAAGTAGAAGGAAAAGAAGAGGGGGGAAGTAAAGAGGTAGAAAAGGAAGGAAGGAGAGAAGGAAAGAAAAAAGGGAAGGAAGGAAGGAAAGAGGGAGCGAAGGAAGGAGGGAAAGAAAGAGAGAAAGGGAGGGAAGGTTGGCCACATGGGTACAGCTAGTGTGTGTGTGTGTGTATGTGTACGTGTGTGTCTATATATATGTGTGTGTGTGTGTGTGCGTCTGTGTGTGTGTATAGAGTCACCAAAAGCTGTCTTACAGTCTATAAATCAAAGTCCTATAGTTTTTGATTTCTTGCAATAAGACTATGTAAGAAAATAATAATAATAATAATAATAATAATAATAATAATAATAATAATAATAACAACATTCTGTTCCTGGTGTGAAAGAGTTATTTTCTGTTTAATTGTGTGGTACTTACTTTGGAAGTAGTTGTTGTACTCCAGAAACTTCATTTTTGTGGCTGCTACAAACTATGTTGAATTGGTTGAGACTCTCTGAGATATTCATTGAAAAACTATAGCAAAATGTGTTGCAGTGTGTCCCGCAAAAACAAAGTTTTTGCACTTTAATAAACCTTTCCCATTTTTTATAATAGAATCAATTAGGAAATGACATTAATAGCCAAGGACAAAAATCGTGTTATATAGTGTAATTGCAAGTGAAGCTGGCTTCATAAAAGCTCTATTTGAAAATCAGCACCATGTAGGAGGTGTCAAATAGATTGTTTAATGGGCTAATGAAGAATATGTTGTAATAATCACTGGACCTCTTTTGCTTATGGATTTATGAACAAATGTCAAGGAGATAAATATTTGTTTGGTGTTCCTGGCTTTCAGGTCATATGAGTACATATGCATTAGATAACTACAACAGGTGTTTTAACAATTCTCCATATCAGCTATGGTAGGGACAGGTCAGTGAAGGAAAGGCTATTCAGCCCTGGCTCCATTTGATATTGTAGGGAGGGGGTGCCTTGGCCCCATCTATGTAGTCATATAATGCAGCTTGAAACAGCATTATGAGGTCAGTGTGGACTCCTATAATACACATCAATGCAGTGAAATGACATTATATAAGTTTACAGGGAGGAGGGAGCAAGCTTGTTTTCTGCTTCCCTGGAGACTAGGACGCGGAGCAATGGCTTCAAACTACAAGAGAGGAGATTCCATCTGAACATGAGGAAGAACTTCCTGACTGTGAGAGCCGTTCAGCAGTGGAACTCTCTGCCCCGGAGTGTGATGGAGGCTCCTTCTTTGGAAGCTTTTAAACAAAGGCTGGATGGCCATCTGTCAGGGGTGATTTGGATGCAATATTCCTGCTTCTTGGCAGGGGGTTGGACTGGATGGCCCATGAGGTCTCTTCCAACTCTTTGATTCTATGATTCTATGATTCTATACACTGACCATATAATGCAGTTTCAACCCTGCTATATGCCTGCAAGACGTGGACTATCTACAGACGTCACATGTAACTTCTAGAATTATCCCATCAGTGTTGCTTCCGAAAAATCCTGCAAATCTCTTGGGAAGTCAAGTGGACAAATGTCAGCGTGCTGGAAGAAGCAAAGACCAGTAGCATTAAAGCAATGGTCCTCCGCCATCAACTCCGCTGGACCGGCCATGTTGTCCGGATGCCCGACCACCATCTCCCAAAAAAAGTTGCTCTACTCTGAACTCAAGAACGGATAATGGAATGTTGGTGGTCAGGAAAAGAGATTTAAAGATGGGCTCAAAGCCAACCTTAAAAACTCTGGCATAGGCACAAGAACTGGGAAGCCTTGCTTCTTAAGCACTCCAGCTGGAGATCAGCTGTGACCAGCAGTGCTGTAGCATTTGAAGAGGCATGAATGGAGGGCGAAAGAGAGAAACATGCCAAGAGGAAGGCACATCAAGCCAACCCCGACCGGGACCACCTTCCACCTGGAAACCAATGCCCGTACTGTGGGAGAAGATGCAGATCAAGAATATGGCTCCACAGTCACCTACAGACCCACCACCAGTACACCAATCTTGGAAAACAATCCTACTCGGACAACGAGGAATCGCCTAAGTAAGTAAGTATATAGAAGTGTAGATGGGATGAAGTGCGATGAGGAAGGAGCTTGGGTGCCACAACATTTATTTATTTACCACATTTATATCCCTCCCTTCTCATCCTTAAGAGGACTCAGGACAGCTCACAGCAAAGGCACGATTCGATGCCTTAAATACATATAAAATTGAACAACATATATTTTCAAATCACATAATTAAAACATATTACTTAAAATAATTACTTAGAATCACACAGCCCAGAAATATGACATTACGTGGCATGGATAGACATGTTAGGGGTTGGAGCAAAGACCTTGTAAGGACTGGCTGCCCCCGCCTCCCTGACAATAAATAAAGTGGTTCTATTCTACCCATATACCCATGTAAATAGCCTAGAGCATCTTGGATGAAGGGCGATTAATAAGTAATTAAATGATGATGATGATGAATCATAGAATCAAAGAGTTGGAAGAGACCTCATGGGCCATCCAGTCCAACCCCCTGCCAAGAAGCAGGAAATTGCATTCAAAGCACCCCCGACAGATGGCCATCCAGCCTCTCTTTAAAAGCCTCCAAAGAAGGAGCCTCCACCACACTCCAGGGCAGAGAGTTCCACTGCTGAACGGCTCTCACAGTCAGGAAGTTCTTCCTCATGTTCAGATGGAATCTCCTCTCTTGTAGTTTGAAGCCATTGTTCCGCGTCCTAGTCTCCAGGGAAGCAGAAAACAAGCTTGCTCCCTCCTCCCTGTGGCTTCCTCTCACATATTTATACATGGCTCTCATATCTCCTCTCAGCCTTCTCTTCTTCAGGCTAAACATGCCCAGCTCCTTAAGCCGCTCCTCATAGGGCTTGTTCTCCAGACCCTTGATCATTTTAGTCGCCCTCCTCTGGACACATTCCAGCTTGTCAATATCTCTCTTGAATTGTGGTGCCCAGAATTGGACACAATATTCCAGGTGTGGTCTAACCAAAGCGGAATAGAGGGGTAGCAATACTTCCCTAGATCTAAACACTATGCTCCTATTGATGCAGGCCAAAATCCCATTGGCTTTTTTTGCTGCCACATCACATTGTTGGCTCATGTTTAACTTGTTGTCCACGTGGACTCCAAGATGATGATGATGATGATATACTAGCCCAATAACTCCCCCCTCCACTTTGGGGTCAGCAAAAGTTATATGTATGAGTGGCAAGTGGCTATATTTTGTGAATGAATTATTCTCAAGTCTGTTTTAAGGCTTAAGGTAGGTCATAAATTAAGTCATAAATCCATAGTGTTAAAGGGTTTGCATATTGTTCCATCTGTGACATGCAAAATTATTATTTTTTATTCACACACACTTTGTTATTATTTTCTAACTTAAGTAGATAAGCAGGTTAGAAATACAGTACAGATTTGTCTTATTTGTGGTATTACTGCTTTTAAGCTGTAAAGCTGAACATGTGTGTATATGAGGAATGATGCAGACTTAATCTGTTTTTTATTTGCTTGGGTGATATATGCATTTTTCTTGGGGAATCATCAAAACCTAATCACTCTTGTACAAAACTCCCTGCATCTCTTTTTCTGGAAGTTAGAGTTATTGGTCCCCTCAGGAAGGGTAACTATTCCTCCAAATGCCAAGAAATAAAAAAAGTTATCAACCACACTCTTAGGCAAAGGAAAATTTAAAGCCACATAGCACAAAAACATCTTAGTTTGTCTGTCTGATATTTCTGTTGTGGAGTTACTGATTGCCTTATTGCACCCCATAAATCACCACTTAGGTATTAATATTTGAAAGAACGACAGAAAAATATCAAATGCTAACTACTTTGTTTTATTGTATCTTGGCATTTAATTTTTGCCATTAGTATGTTGTAAACTGTCTTGAATCCCCCCAGGGGTGAGAAAGGTGGTATATATATATATATATATACCGGGGAGCGGCGTGAGCTTGCGCTGTCAGCCCTAGCTTCTGCCAACCTAGCAGTTCGAAAACATGCAAATGTGAGTAGATCAATAGGTACCGCTCGGCGGGAAGGTAACGGCGCTCCATGCAGTCATGCCGGCCACATGACCTTGGAGGTGTCTACGGACAACGCTGGCTCTTCGGCTTAGAAATGGAGACGAGCACCACACCCCAGAGTCAGACATGACTGGACTTAATGTCAGGGGACTACCTTTACCTTATATATATATATATATATATATACACACACATACATACACACACACACACACACACACACAGTAAATAAATAAATAAAGCTTGGAAACTTGTTAAAAGGATGAGTCTGGAATGTGTTAAAAGGATAAAGCTGGAATGTGTCCAGAGGAAGGTGACTAAAATGATCAAGGGTCTGGAGAACAAGCCCTATGAGGAGCGGCTTAAGGAGCTGGGCATGTTTAGCCTGAAGAAGAGAAGGCTGAGAGGAGATATGATAGCCATGTATAAATATGTGAGAGGAAGCCACAGGGAGGAGGAGGGAGCAAGCTTGTTTTCTGCTTCCCTGGAGACTAGGACGCGGAACAATGGCTTCAAACTACAAGAGAGGAGATTCCATCTGAACATGAGGAAGAACTTCCTGACTGTGAGAGCCGTTCAGCAGTGGAACTCTCTGCCCCGGAGTGTGGTGGAGGCTCCATCTTTGGAAGCTTTTAAACAGAGGCTGGATGGCCATCTCTCAGGGGTGATTTGAAAGCAACATTCCTCCTTCTTGGCAGGGGGTTGGACTGAGGCCCATGAGGTCTCTTCCAATTTTTTGATTCTATGATTCAGATATGGGATTTTGGCCTGCATCAATAGGAGCCTAGTGTCTAGATCTAGGGAAGTCATGCTACCCCTCTATTCTGCTTTGGTTAGACCACACCTGGAATATTGTGTCCAATTCTGGGCACCACAATTGAAGAGAGATATTGACAAGCTGGAATGTGTCCAGAGGAGGGTGTCTAAAATGATCAAGGGTCTGGAGAACAAGCCCTATGAGGAGCGGCTTAAGGAGCTGGGCATGTTTAACCTGAAGAAGAGAAGGCTGAGAGGAGACATGATAGCCATGTATAAATATGTGAGAGAAAGCCACAGGGAGGAGGGAGCAAGCTTGTTTTCTGCTTCCCTGGAGACTAGGATGTGAACAATGGCTTCAAACTACAAGAGAGGAGATTCCATCTGAACATGAGGAAGAACTTCCTGACTGTGAGAGCCGTTCAGCAGTGGAACTCTCTGCCCCGGAGTGTGGTGGAGGCTCCATCTTTGGAAGCTTTTAAACAGAGGCTGGATGGCCATCTGTCAGGGGTGATTTGAATGCAATATTCCTGCTTCTTGGCAGGGGGTTGGACTGGATGGCCCATGAGGTCTCTTCCAACTCTTTGATTCTATGATCAGGATCGGGATTTTGGCCTGCATCAATAGGAGCATAGTGTCTAGATCTAGGGAAGTCCTACCCCTCTATTCTGCTCTGGTTAGACCACACCTGGAATATTGTGTCCAATTCTGGGCACCACAATTCAAGAGAGATATTGACAAGCTGGAATGTGTCCAGAGGAGGGCGACTAAAATGATCAAGGGTCTGGAGAACAAGCCCTATGAGGAGCGGCTTAAGGAGCTGGGCATGTTTAACCTGAAGAAGAGAAGGCTGAGAGGAGACATGATAGCCATGTATAAATATGTGAGAGGAAGCCACAGGGAGGAGGGAGCAAGCTTGTTTTCTGCTTCCCTGGAGACTAGGAACAATGGCTTCAAACTACAAGAGAGGAGATTCCATCTGAACATGAGGAAGAACTTCTTGACTGTGAGAGCCGTTCAGCAGTGGAACTCTCTGCCCCGGAGTGTGGTGGAGGCTCCTTCTTTGGAAGCTTTTAAACAGAGGCTGGATGGCCATCTGTCAGGGGTGATTTGAATGCAATATTCCTGCTTCTTGGCAGGGGGTTGGACTGGATGGCCCATGAGGTCTCTTCCAGCTCTTTGATTCTATGATTCTATGTAAGAATTGGGAAGTTATGGTGAGTACAGCTGCAGAAATGCAAATCAACGAAGGATGTGGTGTGTATGTTAATAGAAGTTGATGGACTTGGACATTTCCCATACTGGTACCCAGTGCTATATCTCCCATCATGTTTAAGATGGCCCAACAAAATCTTTCCATTATTTTGGGAGTGAGGACTAGTAGTGTTGAACACAGGGCCAGTTTTACAATATATTGATTCAACGTGATTGGAAAGTGCTAGTAAAATTATTCAATATGATTCAAGTTAGAGAAGGCAATAATAAAACTATACCTCCATCCTGAGTTTTCCTTATTTGGAGGACTTGAGGAGATTTGTATAATTTCATGCTGTGTACCTCCAAACTTAATTATCAGGAACCTTCGGGTTTGCATTGAATCTACTTTAATAAGTCCAACTTTGATTTGAACATCCCAAGTATCTCCAAAATAAGCCCAGTCCAGTTCTGAATTTTGGGCTCATCCAAATCCATAGCACATTTTTGCTACACACCTAGTAGTTATTATGTGTAATTCAGAACTAATATGTAATTATCATATTAGCTACATAAAAGATTTGTGAAACTTCTGTCTCATTTCACCAAATGGAATGGGTTAAACCCTTGTGCCGGCAGGACTGAAGACTGACAGGTTGCAGGTTTGAATCCGAGGAGAGTGTGGATGAGCTCCCTCTGTCAGCTCCAGCTCCCTATGCGAGAAGCCTCCCACAAGGATGGCAAAACATCCGGGCATCCCCTGGGCAATGTCCTTGCAGACGGCCCATTCTCTCACAACAGAAGCAGCTTGCAGTTTCTCAAGTGGCTGCTGACATGAAAAAAAATCCACCAAATGAACTTGGTCTAGTTAACCTCTTGCTCTAGGATTGGTAAACCTCATCCCATATTTTGCTGTTTCATTGCAGTAGACCATAGAAACCTGCTGTCAACAAATCAATGTACAAGTGCATTCACATTTTTTTTCGCATTGTGATACACACACTTTGTCTTTTTGACAGCCATAGCATTCCTTTGCTGTCTCCTTGTATCAGTCCATGTTGAAATTATAAACTGCTTAGATTAAGCATACATCTTTGACTTTGGAAAATGCCATGATGTATTACTACTTAATAAGCTATTATTCTTTTGCCCTTAGGTTAAAATGGCAGCAGGAGTACCACGCATGCAAATGAAAATTGATCCACAGAATCTGCAGATTCAAACACGTACTGTGGAGAAGTTGCTGGAGCCCCTCATAATTCAGGTAGAATGGAAAAAAGAAAACGTTATTATGGAATTATAGAATAGAATACAGAGAAATCTATTTTGAGATGGTCTACATGATACTTCATTTGAGTTCAGAAAAGCCATATGCAAAATTCTAAATGAAGTTTTGCATAAACATATCACAATAAATAATGTGAGAACTTGTACATATCAGGTATTGATTTTCTTTTGTCTTCTCAAAATCATTTCTCATTGTGTGCCTTCAAGTCATTTCTGACTTGCAGTGATGTATGGTGCTCCAAAGACAAGCCTATCTATCACAGGGTTTTCTTGGCACAAGCAGGTTTGTCATTGCCATCTTCTGATGTTGAAAGAATGAGACTTGTCTAAGGTCACTATGGTGGTTTCCATGCTTGAGCAGGAATTTGAACCCTAGTCTCCTAGCCACCAAACCATGCAAGATATTAGGTGTTAAGAATTTAAGATACCGACTATAAGCCGAGTTTTTCAGCCCCTTTTCAGGTTGAAAAACCTCCCCTCGGCTTATATTCGGGTCAGGGTCCTGGCAGGAGTGTGTGAGGCTGAAAGAAGAGCCCTTATTTATTTATTTATTTACAGCTTTTATGTTCCACCCTTCTCACCCCGCAGGGACTCAGGGCGGATTACAGTGTACACATATATGGCAAACATTCAATGCCAATTTTTGACATACAAACATATACAGACATACACAGAGGCTATTTAACTTTTTCTGACCGCCAGGGGAGCTGTCGCTTTCATCGTCCATCTGCGACGCTGATGAAGCACTTCCGCATTCCCCGCATGCTTCCCTGCTGGAATGCTTTGCTGGAGTCTTCTTTATGGCCTCATAAATCAGTTCCCTTTCCCCATGCCTTCCCACCAGGATCCTTACCTCTACTCCTCCCTCACCCCCTGCGCGCCTTTCCCTCCTCCAAGCCCAGAGGAGAGCAAGACCATGGACAAGCCCCACGGCCACGGCTCCCTCCACCACCAAGGAAACTTCGCATTGAACGAGGGAGGAGGAGGGAAAAGACAAGCCTTCCTCAGCTGTGGCAAAGGCAGAAGGAGCCCCAGCTGCAGTTTTTTTCCGATGCCCCTCCAATTGGGCCTTGTCCCACGCGCAGCGGCAGTGACGGGGGCAACGGCAGGAGGAGGCAGAGAAGCTGCGCACAAGGGGGACAAATGCAAGATAGTCCACTTTGGCAGGAAAAATGAAATGCAAAGATACAAAATGGGGGACAATGCCTGGCTCGAGAGCAGTACGTGTGAAAAAGATCTTGGAGTCCTCGTGGACAACAAGTTAAACATGAGCCAACAATGTGATGTGGCGGCAAAAAAAAGCCAATGGGATTTTGGCCTGCATCAATAGGAGCATAGTGTCTAGATCTAGGGAAGTAATGCTACCCCTCTATTCTGCTTTGGTTAGACCACATCTGGAATATTGTGTCCAATTCTGGGCACCACAATTCAAGAGAGATATTGACAAGCTGGAATGTGTCCAGAGGAGGGCGACTAAAATGATCAAGGGTCTCGAGAACAAGCCCTATGAGGAGCGGCTTAGGGAACTGGGCATGTTTAGCCTGAAGAAGAGAAGGCTGAGAGGAGATATGATAGCCATGTATAAATATGTGAGAGGAAGCCACAGGGAGGAGGGAGCAAGCTTGTTTCCTGCTTCCTTGGAGGAACACGGAACAATGGCTTCAAACTACAAGAGAGGAGATTCCATCTGAACACGAGGAAGAACTTCCTGTGAGAGCCGTTCAGCAGTGGAACTCTCTGCCCCGGAGTGTGGTGGAGGCTCCTTCTTTGGAAGCTTTTAAACAGAGGCTGGATGTCCATCTGTCAGGGGTGATTTGAAAGCAATATTCCTGCTTCTTGGCAGGGGGTTGGACTGGATGGCCCATGAGGTCTCTTCCAACTCTTTGATTCTATGATTCAAAGCCTGCAATCCTCTCCCCTTCCTCTCTCGCCCCGCACACGCCTTCCTCAGTGGTGGAGGCAGGAAAGGCGCGCAAGGGAGAAGAGAAAGGTGTGAGTCTTTCCCTCCTCCCATGCCCCATGTGCACCTTTAACACCACTGCCGAGGAACTCTAGAATTCTATGCAAGGGGTCGTAGTCTACCATGAGTGGAACATGATCCAACAAGTGTGATGCTGTAGCTGAAAAGGCCAATGCCATCCTAGGCTGCATCAATAGGAGAAGCCTGACAGAAGGCGAAAAGGAACTGATATGATACTTTACCTCGGCTGTTTTTAAATTTTTCTTTTAATGATAATTATTTAATGCAACTGTTTAGTTAAACTTATTGTACAATGTTTAGTATTGCCTTTTCCGTTTAGAATTTTTTATGTTTTTCTGTTTATATAGGCATTGAATGTTTGCCTGTTACTATGCTGGAAGCCGCCCTGAGTCCCCATGTGGAGATAGGGTGGGATACAAATGAAGTTTTATTATTATTATAAAATTATTGATATCATATTGTTTTTGTTGACCCTCCTTTTCCACTTACAGAGCTAGTTTACCATTTTTCTTTGAAATATGGTAAATATTTAAAAAAATCACCTACTGATGCCTCAATTAATGTAATTTATTGATATCTAATTTTAGTTTTGAAATTGATCAGTAGTGGCTGCATTTCTCACCCTCGGCTTATACTTGAGTCAATAAGATTTCCCAGTTTTTTTGTGGTAAAATTAGGTCCCTTGGCTTATATTCGGGTTGGCTTATGCTCGAGTATATACGGTAAATCAATATTTGTGCATATAGTGTGCACCTTGTGTGAGTTTGATAATCCCCACCTGCTATCCTGGGCCATGAAAAGAGGGAGACATTATATGGTAGGTAAGGGATGGGAGGCAGCTCACCTTGGTCTGGATTTTGTTGTCCAGGGAAAGCATTGTTTCATTACTAATGGAAGCAAGGATGGCTAAGTGATTCCACAACCCCCTATATAATGAGCCCTCCTCTACAAATAACCTGCTTCTCCTTTATCTCACCCGAGTTTTTAATTAGTTTTTAATTAGTTTTTCTTTTAATCATGTAGCCTGCCCATTGTCACTGTGATTGTGCTTATTGTAATTTTATATGGTTACTAGCTGTGCCCTGCCACGCGTTGCTGTGGCCCAGTCTGGTGATCTGGAAAATAAAGTAACGAGAAAGTGTTGGTTTCTAATATATGTAATTCCTTTATGCTTGTGAGTAAACAATATTTCTTGTTGTTTCTTTAATGAGAGTGTCTGGGTTGCCTACTCTGGAATATGCAACATATCATAGTCCTTCTTTAAGGGTCTCTTTCAAATCTAGGATACTATATCTGTGTGTGTGAGAGAGAATCATATCTATCTATCTATATTTATGACTGGATGGCTCTTTGTCAGGAGGGCTCTGATTACATTTTCTTGCCCTGGTGAAGAGAGTTGGACTGGATGGCCTTAAGTATTTTCTGTTGGTCATGGGGGTTCTGTGTGGGAAGTTTGCCCCATTTCTGTCGTTTGTGGGTTTCAGAATGCTCTTTAATTGTAGTGAACTATAAATCCCAGTAACTACAAATCCCAAATGTCAAGGTCTATTTCCTCCAAACTCCATCTGTGTTCATATTTAGGCATATGGAATTTTTGTGTCAAGTTTGGTCCAGATCCATCATTGTTTGAGTCCACAGTGCTCTCTGGATGTAGGTGAACTACAACTCCCAAACTCAAGGTCAATGCCCACCAAACCCTTCCAGTGTGTTCTGTTGGTCATAGAAGTCCTGTATGCCATGTTTGGTTGAATTCCATCATTGGTGGAATTCAGAATGCTCTTTGATTGTAGGTGAACTATAAATCCCAGCAATGACAACTTCCAAATGTCAAGGTCTATTTCCCTTAAACTCCCATCTGTGTTCATATTTGGGCATATGGAATATTCGTGCCAAGTTTGGTCCAGATCCATCATTGTTTGAGTCCACAGTGCTCTCTGGATGTGGGTGAACTATAATTCCCAAACTCAAGGTCAATGTCCACCAAACCTTTCCAGTTTTCTGTTGGTCATGGGAGCCCTGTGTGCTAAGTTTGGCCCAATTCCATCATTGGTGGAGTTCAGAATGCTCTTTGATTGTAGGTAAACTATAAATCCCAGCAACGACAATTCCCAAATGACAAAATCATTTTTTTGAGTGGAGGACATAAATTGGACTGTTAGGTGTCTTGTGTCCAAATTTGGTGTCAATTCCCCCAGTGGTTTTTGAGTTCTGATGGTAGCACGAACTAACATTACATTTTTATTTATATAGATGTATTCACATGTTTTATGTAATTATGATGTTGTTGTTTATTGTTTGCATTTTTACTCTGTTGTAATTTGTTGTTTGGGCTTGGCCTCATGTAAGCCGCCCCGAGTCCCCATCAGGGAGATGGTGGCGGGGTATAAATAAAGATGATGATGATGATGATGATTAGTAGTAGTAGTATTAGTCCGCTATGGTATACAGCAAGAAGGGTAGTATTACTGCATTATCTGGTGGTGGCTCTAAGTAGCAGTAATCAGCAATAAGGATGATGTAAGGGCTTACTTCAACCAGCCAGAAACTAGCTGGCAACTGTCACCCAGGGCAACTTTTCATCAGCCACCTCAAGACTGTAAAATAATCTACTGGAAGACATCTGACAGCGAAATGAGCTGTCAGAATTTAATAATAATAATAACACTTTATTTATATTTTGACCTATCTCCTCAAGGGGGCTCAGGGCAGATCACAGTACACATACTTGGCAAACATTCAGTGCCCTTTGGACAGACAGGACAGTGTTACAAATGAAAGATTTATGTCTTATGACAGGCCTGTCCAGTCAATTTTAAACTGTGAATTTTAAATTTACATTTTATTAGTATTGGTGTGTCTGTGTGTTTTTTTTTGTGTGTCAGGAGCAACCGCTCCTGTTGTGAGAGAATTGGCCGTCTGCAAGGACGTTGCCCAGGGGACACCTGGATGATTTTGATGTTTTATCATCCTTGTGGGAGGCTTCTCTCATGTCCCCG